ATGCTCTTGATAGATACCTCTCTTCCCAAATCACCTAGCAGCCCTGTTATACCAATAGGCTTTGCCTCATGGCTTTCTCCCTTTTCATTTGTTCCTTGTTGATCTCATATGAAATCTCATTATTGGAATCAGCAATGTGCTTTTGCTGTAAATTCAGCCACCTCGTGTCATATGTAGCCACCATGGCCTTTTTTGAGAAGCATTGCTCAAAAGATATAAGCATGTTCTATTCAAGGCATATTTTCACAACCTCTCCACCCATGTGGGCTAGAAATTTTGTAGAAGATTGTAAACATGGTATTCTAAATAATAAATCTCCAGTCATCCATGGAAACCAGTAATTTGGGACAGCTAAACCCAAAGATAGTCCAAATGGTGCAAGCACAGTGAGCCTCCTCACATACTCTGAACGCACTAAGGAGTTTTGTTTCTTTACTTTTTTTGTAAACTACCATTTCATTTTCATTGCTAGCAGTGTGAGCAATTAAGTTCCCAGTTCAAATGTGGCACTGGTTGTGAACTTGCTGGGCCACTTAACACAAACCAAAAGAATCCTATTTTACGGGGGGGGGGGGTGTCATAAGAATTTGTTAGATAATGTATGCAGAATGCTTTGAGCACTCTGAAGGTTTTAATACAAATCCTAAACATTATTAATTTATCCAGTTACACTACTCAGAGTTGATATTGTGCTGCCACACACCCCGCAAAACAAGGGAGGGAAACTATGGCCCTCCTGATGTTGGGGGAGCCCAGCTCCCCTCAGCCCCGGGCAGCGTGGCCAACAGCCAGGGATGGTGAGGATGCATCTGAAAACCACAGATTCCCTGTTGCTGACACAAAGCATCACCACCAAACAGCTCTGTGGCAAAAATATTGACAAACCATTGTTTTTCACTGGTAAGCCTTGCTACCTCTGCGTAATCCTAGCTACAGTTGGTTGGTTGCTGGCTGGCTGGCTGGCTGGCTGGCTTTAAAATGTGCTCACAATTACACTAGTTAGACATGTTTGCTGAGCATGAAAACACTTGTTTACATGAATTATATGAATTGATAGCAGCGGTTATTTCTTGTAGTGTTTCAGTAAACTGCCCTTGCGAAAGAAAAACTGCTTGGAGGGAAAGATGAAAGGTGCCACCTACTGTTCACTAAGAGCTATTGCTGCAGGAAACTGTCTGAATCTTAGCCAGAGTGAGAGGAGGAGGCTGCAGAACCTGTTGTTTGGATGCCCCGCCTAAAGTAGATATTTAGAAGCAACTGTAACCATTCCTTCCAGACATTGCCCCACGTCAGACAGTAACACTTAGGCTAACTTAAACATGTAGTTTATGTAGATGACTCTAAACAGCACCATGCAGATACTTTCAGCTGGCGGACTGAGGAACCATGATGCAGTGGGACAGTGAGACCACAATGTGGGATCCTTAACCATGTTGACAAAGGACTGCAGCGCAACAGCTCATTGTCAGGAACTGAAAGAAAGCACTGGATTGGGCTGGATTTGAGCCTGTATGGAGGGGTGGGGCAATTAGTTCAGTGAGCAATGGAGGGCCTATAGGCAGAAGAGTCCCTATGACTAACGGGCAGAACTCTAGGTGAAGGACAAGGGCATGTCATTCCTCCATCCATCTATACCTCTTTCCCACCAGAATTCATCAGCCTCACTCTCACATTACATGTGTTTGTAATCTGCTTTCCCTCGCTTTCTTGCACTGTCTTTACTACACTAATCAGCCTCCCCCTATCACTAAACCCCACTGTTTCCCAGCTCCACAATGTCCGTTCCACATCATTCCCTTTTATCCATCACTTACTCCTATTTTTCAGATATAGGCATATATGTTCTTAAAGCAGCACTTTTACAAGACATGGCAAGGAAATAAAATGCTATTTAATAAGACACAAAGTAATGGGGCTAACAAGATCTTGCAGCATATTTTTATAGACCCTTGTCCTCTGGTTAGCAACTATTTTTTAGCACGGAGAGTCTTTTGAATTGAGTAGGACTGAAGGGCGACCGACATTGACTTCACCGACCCACTTCCACATAAAGCTAGATTGTACCACACAACAGAAAAACAAAAGGACAAAGCCCACTAGTACAAAAATTTTCAGTGAGTCATTTTATTGCACTGATTGCCTTTGTCCTTTTATCCTTCACTCCCACATGAAGTAGGGGAAAGCCAAGGCTTTCTTTCCTCTCATCCCCTGGGACAGCAGCCACAGATGGAGCCCTCCCTTCACCCACCTCAGTTGCTGCTCACTCGGCCTCTAACAGACCTATTTACTTCTTGCTCTGAAATAGTGGGAAGATGCTTTGCCTACATTTCGGTGCCAGCAGAGGGCTGCCATGCAGAAGATTGAGACTAAGTTTTCTGCTACTCCAGGGGCCAACACTGAAACCAGTGGGTAGAAACTGCATGAAAGCAGATTTCTGTGAAGCATTGGGATAAACTTCCTAACAGTAAAAGCTGCTTGGCAATGAAACAGACTGTCAGGAGTTGCTGAAAGCATTGAAGCAGAGACCCATTTGTCAGGGATGTTGTAGATACATTGAGCAGGGAGTGGGTTAGAGATGACCTCCAAAGTCCTTTCCAACTTCTGTAAAGGAGAAGATTTTGCCAAAACCTCCATCAGATGTACTGGTGATGTACAGGGAGTGGGTGGGTGTCATCAGGAGCCATGTTGGAGGCTTAAGAATGGGAGCCCTGGTGTCCGATTCATCACTTGAACTGCCAGTTGCCTATCCCTGCTATAATTTCTGTGGCTAATTATCTGAGGGCAAACATAAGAGTCATGGAATTGTAGAGTTGGAAGGGTCATCTAGTCCAGCCCCATGCAGGAATCCTGCCCATAGCCATCCCTGGGTGTGTTCGGACCAACTTTCTGGTTAACAGCCAGACACACTGACACATTGTGCCACTATTATGCTACTTTAGATGGGCTAAGAACCGCCCCCCAAAAAATGAAGTTCACATGGGTAGATAGGCAAACCTATCGTAACAGCGTGTTTTCAGCACTCAAAAAACTAGTGCCTGGGACTCTTTGGAGGAAGTCGTGACAATCAAAGCACCACCATGGGTTGGCAGTACTGATCAGACACACTTCTATACTTTCAGGGGGCTGTGGGGAGCTTTTATTATCATGTCATCATAGCTGTAGTCTTCTATGTCCCATTTATGTAGGAGTAAATTCCACTGAAATTTGACAGCCTCACACTTAAATAAACATGTTCAAGATCAGGCTTACACTGCACCAGTTCTGCTGACTTTATCCCTATTTTTGTGTTGGTTCAAACTTCAGGAACTCCTGTGCTAACCCTTCTTTTTCATTGCTTACAGACAGAAGCATTCTAAAGTTTGGGACACTCGTCAGCACTTCAAACACTTATGATGAGTCTGGAGTTGTGACCATTGAAACAGACAAACCTTTGCTTTGGACAATGGGCATCAAAGATAAAGGAGGTGCATAAACTCTCAGCAGCTATTTTTGTTCAGCCCAAGCCTTAAAGCAATGCTTCCTGGGAAAATGTTACTGCACTATCTAAATCTAGATTTCATGCATTAGCTGGTTTCTCCAACTCAAGAGTTTATGATTCTATGCAGCTTCAATCTATAGAATGCCAGGGATTTTAGTTTTTTGCTATTTGAGCAATGCTGTATTGTAAGCTTTTTAAGAATTCTGAACATTGATGTGTTTTTTATATATACTGTGCATAGGATTTTTTTTAAAGATTGGAAGGGCTGATAAAGTGATAGTTATATCACTTAATGATAAAAATAACTTACAGACTAGAACACTGTATAACTTTGTGTTCTGAAAATTTGATAGCTCTCTTCAGCAGAACACAAACATTCAACTTGCCAGTGGGCTGGAACAAGTAGTGCGCACCCCAAGCCAAAACCCACAAAATAAGTTGCCATGATAATATAATAACCATGCGTGCCGCCTCTGTTGCATTCATCTATATTTAGCCCATAGTGTGTGTCAGGGGCCAAATACAAATGGATGCTCACTGATGACAGCTTGGATGCATACATCACGGGCTCCAGGAACCACTTTTGCTTGTATTAAAAGGGGATGGGGAGAGGCAGGCACACAATGAAAATGTGTGGAGTGTCTCCCTGGTAATTACAATAATCTATAAGAAACAAAAACAATTTTTGAGCTAAAACACTTAATTATAATTGCCAAAGTTTAAATGAACAGTCTGTTTTTAAAAAGGGAAGATGGCCTAATGTCGCATTTTAAACAAGTGTTATGCAAATTCTTGCATTTAATAAAGGCTACATTTAAATATCAGACTTGTTATGAATTTGCTTCTGCTATTACATGAGGGAATAAAGAGAAAAGGGCTCTGTCAGTGCTGAACATCTTAAGAGGCAACCAGAACTATATTTGTATACAAAGGTTTTACAGTGGTACCTCGGGTTACAGACGCTTCAGGTTACAGACGCTTCAGGTTACTGACTCCGCTAACCCAGAAATAGTACCTCGGGTTAAGAACTTTGCTTCAGGATGAGAACAGAAATCGTGCTCCAGTGGCGCGGTGGCAGCAGGAGGCCCCATTAGCTAAAATGGTGCTTCAGGTTAAGAACAGTTTCAGGTTAAGAACAGTTTCAGGTTAAGAACAGAGCTCTGGAATGAATTAAGTACTTAACCTGAGGTACCACTGTAAAGAGTTTGGAGTGTCCATGCGCTGCTCAGTTTATTCAACTATTGATGCTCCCCTCCCCAGACACTGAAGAGATTGAGCATTTCATAAAACCTGATTTGATCTCAAAGTTTACCAAGCATAAAGTTTTTAGTCTTAAGTCAGTGACTGACATTGGCCTACACGTGCTTGCATTAACAAACTAAGAAGCCACACCAGTTTTACTTTAAAATCTGTTTATAACAACAAGTACCAAAAGATGATTTAGGAAGATTATGCCAGAAAGGTCAGAATGTTCTCTTTTGTTACCACAAGCAAAATCAAGGTACATGTCTTCTTGATGCATTCAGCCACCCCTGTAAAAAAGAAAAAAAAAACAACAACACAATCACAGAGGCACTTAATAGCATTTTACCGTTTTGTTTTTAAAGTTATGTGTCCCCCCTTTTTTAAAAAAAATCAAAAAATCTTTACTTAAAGTGTATCATCCTATTTGTTTTTAGCAGCATGCCTTTCCCTTCTGTAAGCATACTTTAAATAAATAAGGTAAAAAGGTAAAGGACCCGTGGATGGTTAAGTCCAGTTGGAGTGTGGCGCTCATCTCCACTTTCAGGCCAAGGGAATACATAGTGCAGATTCAAAGTAGATATCTATGTTATTTAAGTATGCCAGTGCATACAGGGTTCTAAAGACGACATCATGAGATCCAGAGATCACAGCAGAGTGCACAAAAATCCCATTTTAGTACATTGCTCACAAGTTGTTGTTGTTTTATACCAGCAATATCAATTATGATGCATGTACTTACACAATGATGTTGTTGATTGGAATATGGATCAGTTTTACAAAGAAACCAATAAATCCCATTATTGCAAATCCTATTGCTGTTGCCATAGCAATCTTCTGGAATTCTGGAATTTAAAAAAAATGTATTTAAAAAATGTACTCTTAAATGAATTTTGAATAATTACAACCAAATGTGTTTTTATATTTAGCCAGGAATACTTGAACAATTGGAGGAGACTATGAAGTTTTTCTGATTTAAATCTGGTTATTATTTGAAAATAAGTGTGTGACCATCACCACCCTGCCTATTCACTGAGCACATGCTGGCCTCCCCCTCCCCTCCCCCACTTACAAAATGCCTACACTTTCTGAGTTAAAGGCCCCATGTCTCCCATAACGTGCTAAGTTAGAATCATAGAATTGTAGAGTTGGAAGGGACACCAAGGGTCATCTAATCCAACCCCCTGCAATGCAGGAATCTCAGCTAAAAGCATTCATGGCAGATGGCCATCCAACCTGTTAAAAACCTCTAAGCAAAGAGAGTCCACAACCTCCTGAGGGAGTCTGCTCAACTGTTGAACAGTTCACACTGTCAGAAAGTTCTTCCTGATGTTTAGTCGGAATCTCCTTTCTTGTAACTTGAATCTATTGGTTCAAGTCTTACCCTCCCATGCAGGAGAAAGCAAGCTTGCTCCCTCTTCCGTGTGATACCCTTTCAGATATTTGAAGATGGCAATCATATAAGCTGCTCCTTATATGAGAACCCTGAGCACAATTGCCACCTTGTATCCTTTAGTCTGTCAAACGACTCCTGGACCAAATATGTATATTACTCCAGGCAAAGACATTTTCACCCACATAGCAAAACTGATGTGGCAGCTAAGAAAATACAAGCCAGGTTCAAAAAAACATAGGGGTGAGTGGGATGTGTTTTTGTTTTATTGCATTTTTAACACCTGTATATCTTATTGAAGAGGGAAAATGCATTGATTAAACTAGGGAGTTGTTGTTTTTTCATTTTTCTGTTTATGTTTGCTAAATACATCAAAATGACAGCTTGCTGTATTTATACTGTGGTGACCTATGGCTTCAATAATAAAGCTTATATATTGATTCACATTGGTTCCTGAATGTATTGGGGATCCAGGGATTATCAGAATTCCTCTCAGGGTTAGAGGTTTGAGCCCCATGTTGGCCAAAAGATTTGTGCATTGCAGGGGGTTGGCCTAGATGACCCTTGTGGTCCCTTCCAATTCTATGATTCATGATTCTATGCACACCATTGACAGTGATACTGAATGCCCAGAACTTTTGGGGGGAGGGATCTCCCTCTTGAGCAGAGCTTTCCAAACTTTTCATGTTGGTGACACACTTTTTATACATGCATTATTTTGTGACTAGCAAACCAGAGATTAAACTAACCCCTTACCAGCCCCTAGAGGAGCACTGCAGCCAACACACTAACATGTCACAACAGTTTGGAAAGCTCTTCTTCTCTACAGGCTAAGTCTGCCACATGTGACGGCACCTTAAGTAATCATTAAATCTTCAAGAATTTATGCCTATGCTGCCACTATTTTCCATCTTGTAACATATTCAATGATCTGATGTTACAGAGTAGCTAGGCAAGGAAGGAAGGGAGGAAAAGACCCTAAAAAAGAAGAGTGGTCCACAGGAAATAGATGAAGAAGGGAAAGTCAAGGGAAGAAGTCTGCAAGACATCATAATCACCCCATCATGGGCTTAAGATCTCTAACCAGATTCCATATTGTAACTATACACTCAATCTGAAGAATTTTTTGCAGGGTCTACAATTTTGTCAATTTGTGCTCACTACAACCTTCCCTCACCAAACCTGGGAAGGAGCAGGGTGTTGTCCAACATCAGCTTGATGTTGAGCTTGAGGCCCAACACAGCTGCATGGAGTGAGCTGAATTGGGGAGGCAGAGTGGAACTCTACCCTGTCACACCAGGACTAAGAAAGCCTTGTTCCTTTCCAAGGAATTCCACGGCTCAGAGTTGTATGACGGAGAGCAACTGACCTTCTCTAGGCTCAGGAGGATGGGCGCTCTTGCTGATGCTGCGTTCCCACAACATAATATATGCTCATCAGTGACAAGATGACAAGCACACTTCTAGACTCTTGCTCAGAATCACTATCCTCACCCCATTCAAAAGCAAAGCCTCTAGCCATCTATCAGAAACCACACTGTTGCATAGCTCTTAGGCATATGAGCTCAGCTATATATTTTAGATTGTTGGGTTTTTTTGTCTGTTAAAATTGCAATTTATGCAGCATTGATCTCCTCTTTAAAAAACCTACTAAATATTTTACCAACAAAATGAAAATATGATATTAAACACAGGAACTTGTGTTTATTGTCATCTACAAGAATAACTTGTTTATTACATTTTATTCTACTCTGCAATGTCACAAACACATTCAGTGTTTTTCTTCTTGGTGGCTTTACCTTTCCTATCTGGCTTTGTGCATCGTTTAACAAGCCTGATGGAATCTTTCACAAACTGACGACTAGGTTCCACAAACTGCATTACTTGATCCATGATATTCTGCAAGAAAAAGAACCAACATACCAACTTGTTAGGATTTTTTTCATATGCAATCATTCCAAATCAGGCTTAGAAATTGCCTTCGATTCAAACCACAAAGCTCCTATACAGCAAATAAAGTTGTTCCCAATTTTTGTTAGCATTTTTTATTTAACTGGTAAAAAAACCAGGCATAATATTGATGTTGACTTAAAACAATGCTAATAAACCCCAGCATCTACAATGTCATTTTAGAGATCTCCAACATGTTCCTTTAATATTTTTTGTTGCACTAGTGCACAATGATAATGAGCTCAGGGAATTTGGTCATTTGTATGAAGCTATAGCGCAACAGTAATGCACCCATTTTACACCATCACCAATTATGGTTAGCCGACACTGAGGCTCCCAAGCTTCATAGCTTTCCCCCCATTCAGTGTAGAATATATTCAGTTGCTCAAAAGGCAGCAAATCTGTAATACATTTTAACATTTGGGAGAACATGGAAGCACAGTTGAAGAGAGTGGAGGGTGGGGGAGCAGTGACATTGGAAAAAACCTGGTGGTAATATAATACCCTAAAGGTAAGTTAATTAAGTTTCCGCCCCTCTCCCCACCCCCTTATTACACACGGCTGTGTCCTGAAGCCAATTACAAAGTTTACAAACCTTCAGAAGTGCTTAGTATCAAACCTCATATTTGGCCAATGTTTAATTAGGAACACAGTGAGCACAAGTTTCCAGTATGTGTGTAACGTGATCAGGTGTGCCCCCACTTTTCTTACCCCCTCTTTGTTTTTTGGGGGGCGAAGACAGCGATACATGAAACGTCGCGTGGTCTGTGCCTGGGAGACGCACAGCATTTCCAGACCTAGAAATGGGGCAGCCCCCCCCCTCCCTCGGCCCCCTCAGCCGCGGAGACCAGGAAAGGCGACCGAGCTGTGAGTCAGGGCTGCTCCCTCCGCGCCTCCGCCTCGGCCGGGCGGCTTCGCAACTCGCTCCCGGGCTCCCGTTCCCGCACTGCTTGCCCCCCCCCGCCCCCCCGCCCCCGAGACGCGACTCCGCTCCAGACTCACTCACCGACTTGCGGGACACGTAGCAATACCAGCAACTGGGAAGGAAGGCGGAAGCGGAAACGAGAGAAAAAACTGGCGCCGGCGAGGGGGAAATGGCGTCACGGAGCGGCTTCCGCTCGAAGGGGAGGCGGCCGCGATCGCTTTCCAGGGAGACTTCCGGCTCCCAAGCGGCGCAGCTTGTTGTCGTCGCCGAGTTCTGTGGCAGAATCATGGCGCCCTGCAAAAGTGGGTTTTGTTTTGGGTTTTGTTTCGAAAGCAGGCAAGGACGCCTGCTTTGGCCTAGCAGGTTGATTACACGTTTGCCGAAATCTAAAGAAATTTGGCACAGGGAATTACCGTGTCCAGTGAAGAAGGGATATGCCGTATTATTAGTAGTAGTAGTAGTAGTAGTAGTACAATATGTTTATTTTAAATGTTTATTCACCCACACAGCTTTTCCCTGACAGGGAAATTAGAACAGTTAAAAACATAATGGGGAACAATCATTTTTTTTAAACAAAAATAAACATTAATAGAATTAAAACTTTATGTGCATGTGTGGATTCCTACTAGTTATATGTAGCTGTTTGAAAAGCAGAGAAGGTCCCAGCGCAGCTCTTAAGAATTAGACTTAAGGCACTTGCCGATTTGTTGCTATTTTCCGGTGAGGTTCAGTCACAAATTCAGGTTGCTCAGTTAAAGTTGATTTGGAGGTCGTGCAACAACCCCCCCCCCAAAAAAAAAATATACATGCACAATTCAGACTTTTTGTGGTAGCAAAGAGACAGGGAAATATGCTGGAAACTGTCAGATGACATTTGCTTGATGTAACATTGTGTAATCTCTCTGCAAACAAATCAGGATGAGTGCCCCATTTTATCCGTTTTGCAATACAGATTAAAAATAAAACAAATATAGTCTAATCTAATGGTAGCTCATCATTAGCATATCAAACCACATGAGACAAGTTAATTAAACATACAAATTATTTTTGTTTGAGTAGGATATGTATGAGCAGAAATCCAGACTCAAGCTTGGGTTTGTTAAAACAATCCAATGTCCCCTTTCAGAGGCACCATCACTCTACTTTATACTTCTTGTGAATTATGACCCACTGTCAGGGACTGGGCAGAGGAGGAATGGTGGAGACCACCTTCCCAGCCTGAACCTTCCACAGAAGAAGACAGTATAGGTTTACAACAGTGGTTTGCAGAGGTCACAATTCAGAGGCAGATGAGGGTAAAAGTTGGGAAATAATGGGAAAGGAGGAGGCATAGCCAGGGCAGCTGGCTGACACGTTATCACTACAAAAATTTAAAAATTGTCTAGTAGCACCTTAAAAGGTAAACAGACCCCTGACTGTTAGGTCCAGTCACGAACGACTCGGGGGTTGTGGCGCTCATCTCGCTTTACTGGCCGAGGGAGCCGGTGTTTGTCTGCAGACAGTTTTTCCTGGTCATGTGGCCAGCATGACTAAACTGCTTCTGGCAAAACCAGAGCAGCACACAAAAACACTGTTTACCTTTTGAACTGCTAGGTTGGCAGAACCCGCAAAGGAACCCACTAACGGGCTCCGAAGCGAAGAGGGGGAAGCGGCGCGGTGCTGTGAGTCAACTGCTATTTCCGTGGAGCGAAGCCACATAGCGCTGCCTTTTTTCTGGGACAATTTGGCTTCTAAAATAAGCACCCGTGAGTACTTAAACTTTGAACAAATTGGACTTTAAATAAGGATTTGCGAGCAGAAAGGAATTGGATTTAAAAATTTACTTCAATTTGGTACTGAAACGGGAAGGTCTAAACAGGAAGTCAGCCTTCCGTTTCTTTGTAGACAGAATAAAGCAAAGACAACGTAAACTAGAGCTCAGAAAATTGCTTCTAAAGGATCGGCTTTCATCATTTAAAATCCTCGAACCCCCCTTCGGCAGCAGGAGAAGAAGGGGGATCTTTTTCGGACTGTTTAAACCTGCAGAAGTGAGTTTAAAGTAAAGTAACTTTCCACCGTCCTGATCCTGGAGCGGGGTGTCAGGACTGACGTTTGAAGCTCATTGACCAGAGACAAACGCTTTTGACAGATAGCTGAAAGAAGAGAAACATAGTGATTCCACTGTTTCCTTTCGCATTTTAAAGGAACAAATATTGACAAAATATCTCAAAGAAGAAACTTTGTTGCAAGAACAATTAGAAGTTTTCCCCCTAGAGGGAGACTGGGAAACTGTAACTAATTCCAGGGAGCTTGCAGCTGTCACAGATTATAATCGTGGGAAAAGGCTTGTGACCTTGTAGGACAATGTATTCAGAAGCTCTGTTGTGTGCTCTCTGTAAAATAAATGCTCTACTGGAACAGTTAACTGAGAAGACGGATTTGATGACTAATGCGGTCAGAATTTTTGAACAGGCAGTGGGAAACTATATGGAGCCCACCCAGGAATTAAATCAGGAGTGTGCCCTGACAGAACAGATGAGAGAAGAGGATGTTGCGGAATCTTGGGCGCCAGAGATGGAGGGAGCTGCGGCCCAGCAGGAACATGAGCTTTTGGATTTGACAAATGAACTTGGAAAAAGCCAGATTAGGAAAGATAAAGTTTGGACTGATTTGGAAATGGGGGGTTGGATAGACCCCTATGCAGGGATGTTTGGACTTTCCGAGTCTGGCAATGGGCCGTGAGATGTTTGGAGCTGTGGGGCTCTCAATTTTGGAGGGATTCTGAAACATGTTTTTAAATACTACATGGAGTTTAGTCTGGACTATGGAAAAGGGGCTGATTTGTTGAAAAGGGTCAAAAACATTACCAAGCTGGAGTTCCCACGAGTGAAAGGTGAATATGAAGAAGAGCTGCGGAAGGGACATGGAAGGGACTTAAGGGCCTCGGATATAAGGTTACCAGGTTAATGCGCTAGATCGATGGGATAAAAAGGACTGACAAAACCCGGGACCAGGAGGAAGGGACGCTGGATGAAGATTGGATTGTTTCTATTTTTTTTTTATTATTACTAGGATTGTTTTATAAAATTGATGACTGTTAGAAAAATGTTGGAACGAAATTACTTGGCTCTAGCAAAAATGTTTAAAGAATTAGGCAAGAATATTATGGTTATGAGAAGTGGGTAAAAATAAGATTTAAGTTTTAAGGTTTTTTATAAGATAAGATGAAAATAGATTAAGGTAATGTAATGACAGAATATTATGAAATATGGAAAGGATTTGCTGCGATAATTATTAACTGGGATACAAAAAAAGGGAGGAGGAGGAGGTCAAAGAAAGAAGGTAATGAAAGTTGAAGATTTGAGAATGTTGGTTTTATTTTTATCTGTTTGTGGTGTATTTTTGTTTTTTGAATTTGTATTGTTGGATGTGGTTTGTTTGTTTTTTCTCTTTTTTGTTTTTTTCTTTTTTCTTTCTCTGCTTTGTCTTTTTTGTAATTTTAAAAATTTTCAATAAATATCATTTAAAAAAAAATAATGAACTGCTAGGTTGGCAGGAGCTGGGACCGAGCAACAGGAGCTCACCCCATCACGGGGATTCGAACCACTGACCTTCCAATCGGCAAGCCCTGGGCTCTGTGGTTTAGACCACAGTGCCCTAAACGTGTCCATAGCACCTTGGAGACCAACTAAGTTTGTTCTGGGTATAAGCTTTCGTGTGCATGCACACTTCTTCAGATACACTGAAACAGAAGTAACCAGTGGGAGGGTGGGGTGGGGTTTTTCTCAGAAGGGTAGTAGGAGATGGGTGATTTTTATTTATTTCAACTGCGTCAGACCAACACGGCTACCTACCTGACTCACTTTATCACTAGAAAGCATTCCAGACTCCCCCCCTTCTCCCAGAACCTGGCGAGCCTTAAAAGTAGGAGAGCAAAGGGCTCGGAGACAGATGGCCCTAAGCAACAACCGTAAGGTGGGTGGTGCTGTGGAGAAAGGAGAGAAGGTGGGTGGAGATTTATTCGGAGCAGCACCAAGAGGCTGCATTTCTAAGTCTCTCTCTGTGAATATTGAATAAACAACATTGTTTAAAACTTTCCTTGTCTTATCCATTCCTGGCAACCTACCATGGGGGTTGGATCCTCTGAAGCCTGACACCCACTATGTTTCAATATCCTTAGACATTCCCCCTTCCTGAGGAATTATTCACAAGCTTAGTTACCGTATTTTTCGCTCCATAGGACCCATAGGAGGGGGAGAACGGGGGGGATTTTTTTTGTTCTTGCCCTCAAAAACAAGGTGTGTTCAAGGTGTGTTCAAGAGCAGGTCGGGGAACAGCGCAAAGGCTGCACGTAGCCTTGCCACTGCCCCCCGAGCTTGTGGGGCATGGCGGTGGGGGGAAGCGCTGCTTTCCCCCACCGCCAACCTCAAAGATCCCTGAAGCCTTTGGAGCGCAGCTGCACTCCAAAGGCTTGAGGCTTCGGGGACATCCTTTGTAGCTTCTGCAGGGCGGCGGGGTGGAGGCACCCCGCCGCCCTGTGGAGGCTTTCCGCAGCCATCCCAAAGCTAGAATAGCTTCGGGCTGCAGGCTGCTATCCGCAAGCCTTCGAAGCCCAGCGGGAGTTCCCACCGGGCTCCGCAAGCCTGCGGATAGCTGCCCTAAGCCCTGGGTGCGCAGCGCTCGCTCCCTGGCTTCGGGCTGCAGGCAGCTGTCCGCAAGCCTGTAGAGCCCGGCGGGAACTCCTGCTGGGCTCCGCAGGCTTGCGGATAGCTTCCTGAAGCCTGAAGAGCGAGAGGGGTCTGTGCGCACCGACCCCTCTCGCTCTCCAGGCTTCAGCAAAAGCCTGCATTCGCTCCATAGGACGCACACACATTTCCCCTTCATTTTTGGAGGGGGAAAAGTGCATCCTATAGAGCGAAAAATATGGTATATCAGTTTATTCAAGAGTCACTTTGATCAAATTGATAGTTGTACTTGGATCTCTGAAAATTTTAGACCTAACCATAATTCTCAAGATGTTCAGTTTTGTGAGCCCCCGTCTGAATCAGGCCACCCAGATTCAGGTTTCCCATGTCAGACTTCTTCCTGGTGGACTGTTGCAGCCCAAAATAACAGAAATTATATGCAAGTCAAATATTAGGGTATTTTTGATATATTATCTTCATTTAACAGTCCTCGCATCTCCATGCATCTAAAAATTTGCTTCAAACAATAAAGACCTGTAGGCCTAAATATGCCCTCAAAGACCAAATCATTTTTTTAAAAGTCTTTTAAAACAGACGTAATTGCTCCAAATTGTTTTAGGACAATGTCCAGCATTGCAAATTAATTATTATTATTATTATTAGCAGCAGCAGCAGCAGCCACCCATCTGACTGGGTTGCCCCAGCTACTCTGGGTAGCTTCCAACAAAATATTAAAAATACAATAAATATCAAACATTAAATCTAGGGTTGCCTTCAAATGACTTCTAAAAGTTCAATAGTTGTTTATTTCCTTGACATTTGATGGGAGGGCACCACTATCGAGAAGGCCCTCTGTCTGGTTCCCTGTAACGTCACTTCTCTCAGTGAGGGCACTGCTAGGAGGCCATTGGAGTTGAACAATGGAGGTGGAGCAAGGCTGTTTAGGGCTTTAAAGCTCAGCACCAACACTCTGAATTGTGCTTGGAAACTTACTGGGAGCCAATGCAGATCCTTTAGGAATGGTGTTATATGGTGCTGGTGGCCGGCTCCCAATCACCAGTCTAGCTGCCGCATTCTGGATTAGTGGTAGCCCCACGTGGAGCGCATTGCAGTATTCCAAGCGGGAGATAACCAGAGCATGTACTACTCTGGCAAGAGTCTTATTGTTTTCCAATCTGGCATTCAATTCCTTGGTTCATTGATTATTTATTTATTTATTAGCCAATCTTCATCCTAAGGTCACAGGATGGGTTACAGAATTAAAAAACAGTATTAAAAACAATTTAAAGCAATGCTTTAACAAACAATCTAACAATGCTCACCTAATGTCAGGTAGATAACCCTGTACAGTGGTACCTCGGGTTAAGTACTTAATTCGTTCCGGAAGTCTGTTCTTAACCTGAAACTGTTCTTAACCTGAAGCACCACCCCCATTAGGAGGCTAATGGGGCCTCCTGCTGCCGCCAGAGCCCGATTTCTGTTCTTATCCTGAAGCAAAGTTCTTAACCTGAAGCACTATTTCTGGGTTAGCGGAGTGTGTAACCTGAAGCGTATGTAACCCGAGGTACCACTGTACACAGTACATTCATGTATCATTGTATAAAACATACCAGTTCCTGAGTTACAATGAAGTCAGAAATCAGTGTCGTGATTTTTCAAGAAGAGAAGCATGATGCTGATGGGATATTCCAGAAAGTGAGCAAGCTGCAGTTTTCCATCTAATGATGTAAACAACTTCTTCTTTTTGATTGTAAGCATTTTTGTGCAGGTGAAAAATCAGTAAAAACTACTATTCATAGCATTAAACATAGCATATAAATGAAAAAGAAAGGACTATAGGCAATTGTTGGCATTACATGACCTTAAGAACTTGCCTCAAAATTCCAGTGATGATGAGACTGATGACATCACAAAATCTCCCTTTGTTATTGAGTCTTTAAGACTCAGTTTTGGCACATTAAGAAATAGTTGTAGATATAGAAGTAGGGCCATGGCAGAGAGGAATTATGAGGGCCTTTTTCCATCAGGCCACTCATAAACTTAATAACTAAACTCTCAAGCCAGCTTCCATAAATTCTTCCTTCCTTTCTAAGGCCCAACTATCTCCTGCATCTGTTCATCTTTTCCCTTCATCATGGATCCAAGAAAAGTTCACAGTGACACACATGACCAGGTCAAGCCTTACTTGAACTTAGCTAATTCTGAAGATCGAGTCTTCCTTCGGGAATCATTAGGAAACATAAATAATTCCTTACTACATACAACAAACAACATTTGTGTAGGTGAAGCTGGTGATAAGCTTCTCAAAGATCCAAGCAAGGAGAACAATTTTGGGGCTTGTAGTGAGGAAACGGAACAATGTCAGAACAATATCCACGAACTGGGATGCAATAGTCTGAAAGTAACTGAAGAGATGAGGAATCAAATCAATGAAAAGTGTAAGGAGGCATTTGAAGTCCTAGCTAAAGGTGAACTTCAGAAAGCAGTTCATTTGTTCACTGAAGCCATTGAGTTGAATCCACATATTCCTAGTTCCTACATTAACCGGGCCAATGTCTTTATGCAGTTGCAGGAGGCACAGGCTGCCATTAAAGACTGTGACATAGCCATTGAACTGAATCCCAAATCAGCAGAGTCATTCAGACTGCGAGGAAAAGCATTCCAGAATTTGGGGCATTGGGAAGAGGCAGCCTGTGATCTTGCTTTAGCTTCTAGACTGGAGTATGAAGAAGAAGCCAATGCTGTGGTAAGAAGATTGAAGTTAGGGTTTCAAAGGATTTCTGAGACACGTGCAAAGTGTGCCTTAAGATACAAGGAATCTGAGTTACTGGAGCAGGTTAAGAATGTAGAGGCAACTTCAAAGGATGATGAAGAAGATCAGAGAGAGAAAGATTTTAGCACACCATTGGAGAATGAAACATCAAATGGCAAACTAGATCATGAGGATGAGTTCCAATACATGCTAAATGAAAATGTGGAGACAGTTGAGATGTGGAAGCAAACCAGTGAAAAAAAGAAAGAAGCCTTTGATGCAGTGGATAAAGGTGAACTGCAAAGAGCCATTGACCTGTTCACTGAAGCTATTGAATTAAACCCCCGATGTGCCAACTTGTATGTTTGCCGAGCCAGTACCTTTCTAAAGCTGCGTATGCCACATGCTGCCATAAGCGACTGCAATCAAGCTATAAAAATAAACCCTGATGCAGCATTACCATATAAGTGGCGCGGGGGCGCATTTCATCTGTTAGGATACTTGCAGGAGGCAGCTAAAGATCTTTCTTTGGCCTGTCAGTTGGATTATGATGAAAATACATATACCATGTTGAAGGAGGTAGAAGCAGAGACCCAGTCATGCACTCAATGTTGGAGAAAGCATGAAGAAAAATGTAATACGGAATCATTTACGGAAAAGATGGAAAGGATGAAAGAAGCCCTTGTGGACCCAGAGAGTACACAGACAAAGATTCCATTGAAAACACCAAAACACCAACATACCATTTCAGAAGAACAAGAAAGGAGTAAATTTAAACTCTCCAAAGAAAAGGAAGTTCCATATGATCATGCCCAAGAACATGAACCATTTATTCATTTTCCAGAGGAACAATGCAAAGCCTATCCTCTATATGCTGCAGAACAGGAAAAAGGTCAACTCATAGCACATGAAAAATACAAAACATCTGACATTCAGGAACTAGAGATTCAGAAGGGAACTAAGAGTGATTCTGAATGCATCAAATCAGAGAGTGAGGAGAGTGAATTGGAAATTGATACTGAAGAGGTGATTGAACCAGATGAAGATGTTCCTCAAGAGATGGGAGATGAAAACTTGAAAGTAACAGAGGAAATGCGAAAACAGGCCAGTGAAAAGAAAAGAGAAGCTATTGATGCAATCAATAAAGGCGAACTTCTTAAAGCTTTAGATCTGTTCACTGAAGCTATTAAACTAAACCCACACCTTACGATTTTATATGCAAACCGAGCCAAGGTCTATATGAAGCTTCAGAAACCAAATGCTGCAATTAGGGACTGTGACAAAGCCATACAGATCAACCCTGATTCGGCTCAGCCCTACAAGTGGAGAGGAAGAGCATTGCAGCTACTTGGTTACTGGCAGAGGGCTGCTAAAGACCTAGCCTTGGCCTGCCAATTGGATTATGATGAAGAATCCTATGCCGTGTTGAAGGAGATACAGCCAAAGGCTCAGAAAATTGCCAAATACTGGAGAAAGCATGAGCGGAAACTTGAGAAAAAGAAGTACAAGGAGCTTCTGGAAAGCCTTCACAAAGTTTGTGAGAAGCATGAAAGACCACAAAGTATACTTGCAGGGTTAGAAAGTGATGACAAGGTAGCCACTGAAGACCAGAGAAGGGCTTGGAAGGAAACCATGAAGGAATGGCAGGGAGTCAGACACACTGTCCTAAGGAAACAGGGGGGAATGTCCCAGGAAGAGGTGGAAAGAAGTCTGCAAGAAAGTATATGGATACAATATAGGTCTTTTGAAAAGGAGACTGATGAACAAGAAAACTTTCAGCAGAAGCTACTGAAGGAGCAAGAAAGAGTTCAGCACAAGGAAGTAAAATACCAGGGAACAGTCCATCAGAAAGAGCTGGAGGAACAGTTAAGAGCCCTTCAGCAGGAACTTGAGGCAAAGCTTAGAGCTTATCAAGAAGAACTGGATGAAGAGGAGAATTCTCTGAGAAGGTTATTAGAAGAACAGGAAAAATCACATCAGAAGTTACTCTATCAGCAAGAAAAAGCTTACAAAGTGATCCTAGAAGAGCAGGCCAAAGCTCAGCTGCTAGCTCTGGAGGAACTTGAAAGAGCTCAGCAAGCAGCTGTGGAGGAACTGGCAAAAGCTCGACTGACAGTCCTGGGGGAACAGGAAAGAGCTCAGCAACAAGCCCTTGAGGAAGAGGAGAGAGCTCTGAAAGCTCTGGAAAGCGCTCATAAGCAAGCACTGGAAGAACAGAAGAAAGCTCATGTGGTTGCCATGGAAGAACAGAAACTGGCACACAAAAAATCTCTAGAAGAAAAGATGATGGCTGAGGCAGCTCTGGAAGAACTCCAGAGAACTCAAAGGAAGTTTCAAGAAGAGCGAGAAATGGCTGAAAAGAAAACAATTGAAGAAAAAGAAAAAGCTCAGAAGACCCTAGAAAAAATAGAAAGTGCTCAAAAGAAGGCTGTGGAGGAACAGGAAAGAGCCCAGAAAGCCCTAGAAGCTTTAGAATTTGCTCATAAACAGGCTCTGGGGCAGCAGAAAAAAGCTCAGATGGCCATCATGGAAAAAGAGCAAGCACAGAAAAAATCTCTAGAAGAAACAAGTATGTCTGAAGCAGCCCAGGAAGAACTATCAAGGGCTGAAAGAAAGGTCCCGCACAATCAGGAAATGCCAGAGAAGAAAGCAATGGAAGAAAGAAGGGTGCTTCAGAGAGGCCTAGAAGAATTAGACATTGCTCAGAAGAAGGCTGTGGAGGAACAAGAAAGAGCCCAGAATGCTCTGGAAGCTCTGGAAAGAGCTCATAAGCAGGCACTTCAGGAACAGGAGCAAGCACAGAAAAAAGCTCTGAAAGAGAAGAAGAGGGCTGAGGCAGCTCTAGAAGAACTCTCAAGGGCTCAGAGAAAGATCCAAGAAGAGCAGGAAAGGGCTGAAAAGAAAGCAATGCAAGAAAGAGTGGCACTTCAGAAAAGACGAGAAGAATTAGAGATTGCTCAAAAGAAGTCATTGAAGGAACAGGAGAGAGCTCAGAAAGCTCAGAAAGCTCTGGAAAGAGCTCATCAGCAGGCGCTGGAGGAACAGAAGAAAGCCCAAGTGGCAGCCATGGAAGAGCAGAACCGAGCCCAGAAAAAAGCTGTAGAAGAAAAGAAGATGGCTGAGGCAGCCATGGAACAACTCCTAGGGATTCAGAGAAAAGTCCAAGAAGAGCAGGAAAGGGCTGAGAAAAAAACAGTGGAAGAAAGAGAGGTACTTCAAAAGAGCCAAGAAGAATTAGAGTTTGCTAAGAAGGCCGCCCTGGAAGAACAGGAGAGAGCTCAGAAAGCTCTGGAGGCTCTGGAAAGAGCACATCAGCAGGCGCTGGAGGAACAGAAGAAAGCCCAGTTGGCAGCCATGGAAGAACAGGAACTAGCACAAAAGAAATATCTAGAAGAAAAAAAGATGGCAGAGGAAGCCCTGGAAAAACTCTTGACTAAGGTTAAAAAAGAACAGGAAATGGTTGAGAAGAGAGCAATGGCAGAAGAAGAGAGAGCTGAGAAGACTAAAAAAGAATTAGAATTTGCTCAGAAGAAGGCCCTTGAGGACTTGGAGACAGCCAGAAAAAAGGCCAGAGAGGACGAGGAAAGAGCCCAGAATGCTCTGGAAGCTCTGGAAAGAGCTCATAAGCAGGCACTGCAGGAACAGGAGCAAGCACAGAAAAAAGCTCTGAAAGAGAAGAAGAGGGCTGAGGCAGCTCTAGAAGAACTCTCCAGGGCTCAGAGAAAGATTCAAGAAGAGCAGGAAAGGGCTGGGGAAAAAGTAATGCAAGAAAAAGGAGTTCTTCAGAAGAGCCGAGAGGAATTAGAGATTGCCCAAAAGAAGGCACTGGAGGAACAGGAAAGAGCTCAGAAAGCTCTGGAGGCTCTGGAACGAGCTCGTAAGCAATCACTGGAGGAACAGAAGAAAGCCCAGGTGGTAGCCATGGAAGAACAAGATCAAGCCCAAAGAAAAGCTCTAGAAGAAAAGAAGAGGGCTGAGGCAGCCATGGAACAACTCCTGAGAGTGCAAAGAAAGTTTCAAGAAGAGCAGGAAATAGCTGAAAAGAAAGCAGTGGAAGAAAAAGAATTACTTCAGAAGGGCCTAGAAGAATTAGGGATCGCAAAGAAGAAGGCTCTAGAGGAACAGGAGAGAGCTCAGAAAGCTCTGGAAGCTCTGGAAAGAGCACATCAGCAGGCGCTGGAGGAGCAGAAGAAAGCCCAGTTGGCAGCCATGGAAGAACAGGAACTAGCACAAAAGAAATATCTAGAAGAAAAAAAGATGGCAGAGGAAACCCTGGAAAAACTCTTGACTAAGGTTAAAAAAGAACAGAAAATGACTGAGAAGAGAGCAATGGCAGAAGAAGAGAGAGCTGAGAAGACTAAAAAAGAATTAGAATTTGCTCAGAAGAAGGCCCTTGAGGACTTGGAGACAGCCAGAAAAAAGGCCAGGGAGGACGAGGAAAGAGCCCAGAATGCTCTGGAAGCTCTGGAAAGAGCTCATAAGCAGGCACTGCAGGAACAGGAGCAAGCACAGAAAAAAGCTCTGAAAGAGAAGAAGAGGGCTGAGGCAGCTCTAGAAGAACTCTCCAGGGCTCAGAGAAAGATCCAAGAAGAGCAGGAAAGGGCTGAAAAGAAAGCAATGAGAGAGAAAGAGGTAGCTCAGAAGCCCCTAGAAGAATTAGAGATTGCCCAAAAGAAGGCATTGGAGGAGCAGGAGAAAGCGCAAAAAGCTCTGGAGGCTCTGGAACGAGCTCATCAGCAGGCGCTGGAGGAGCAGAAGAAAGCCCAGTTGGCAGTCATGGAAGAACAGGAACTAGCACAAAAAAAGTCTCTAGAAGAAAAAAAGGTGGCAGAGGCAGCCCTGGAAGAACTCTTAAGGACTCAGAAGACATTCCAAGAGGAGCAGGAAAGGGCTGAGAAGAAAACGATGAGAGAAAAAGAGGGAGTTCAGAAGCTCTTAAAAGAATTAGACATTGCTCAAAAGAAGGCCCTGGAGGAAAATAAAAGAGCTCAACACAAGGCCTTAGAGGAACAAAGGATAGCCCAGCAGGCTATGGAAGAGCTGGAGAGAGCACATGCTAAGTCTATAGAGGAACAGCAGAGAGCTCAGATGATAGCCTTTGAAGAACAGCAGAAAACTAAGATGATGCATATTGAACTGGAGGAAACTCGAAACAAAGTGTTGGAGGAACAAGAAAGAGCACAGAAGAGAGCTGTAGAGGAACAAGTGAAAGCTCAACATATTATAGAGGAATTGACAAAAGTTCAAAAGTCAGCTCTGGAGGAACAAGAAAGAGCTAGAAAGGCAGCCCTAGCAGAGCAGCAGAGAGCGGAGATGATGCTTAAGGAGCTGGAGGAAAGACATAGAAAAACCTTGGAAGAACAGGAAATCATACAGAAGAAGGCCCTTGAGCAACAAGAAAGAGCCCATCTTGCAACAGAGGAGTTAGCAAAAGCTCAAAAGTCAGCTCTTGAGGAACAAGAAAGAGCTAGGAAGACAGCCCTAGCAGAGCAGCAGAGAGCCGAGAAGATGCTTAAGGAGCTGGAGGAAAGACAGAGAAAAGAACGGCAAAGAACACAGAAGAAGACTGTTGAGCAACAAGAAAGGGTTCGTCTTGCTCTGGAGACATTGGCAAAGGCTCAAAAGTCAGCTCTGGAGGAACAAGAAAGAACCCGGAAGGCAGCCCTAGCAGAGCAGCAGAAAGCTGAAATGATGCTTAAGGAGCTGGAAGAAAAACAGAGCAAAGAACGGCAAAGAATGCAGAAGAAGGCCCTTGAGCAACAAGAAAGGGCCCATCTTGCTATGGAGGAATTGGCAAAGGGTCGAAAGGCAGCTCTGGAGGAACAAGGGAAGGCTCTGAAGAAGGCCCTGGAAGAACAGAAGGCAACTGAAAAGGGCACGGTAGAATTGGAGGGAGCACAGAAAAAGACCTTGGAGGAAACAGAAGCACAGAATAAAAATCCATCACAAATTCAGGAACCTGTTTTTAAAAGGATTCATGAGGCATGCAAGTTCATACAGAAACTGGGTTCTGCTGAGCCAGAAGGAGCTCATAGAAAGCTCTGCGTTGAGCAAGGAAAGGCTCGCAAGAACCTAGAACAGAAAGAACACCAGCAACCACAGAAGGGCCCGGATCATGACAAGAGTTCACGAAGGCCATTCTCGGACTCTGTTTTGGACTTTTTCCAAACAGATTAAATTCCAGAACTCTGATCCTGAATGAGGGTTAGGGAGGGGAAAAGATGGACTGAATTTGAAAGTCATCTGCAGGTACTGTGTTAATGAAAGTAAAACTGGGAATGAAGGAAAAAGAAGAGAAATGTTTCTATTTTTAAAGTGTTCCCATACACACAGTATTTTTTTTAGGATTAAATCATTCCTGTCCACACAGCAGCACTGGGTCCTCCAACAGACAGATAGTCATGAATGCACAATGTTTTTTCATATCATCATGAGTGCCTCAGGGCTTAATTCCTGAGCAGGAGTTGGTTGGTTCCTCCTCAGTCACTACAAATAGCATCTAGGAAGCACCTGAGCTCTTTTACCCACACATACTAAGTATTTTTGACAGTTGATCAGATTTAAAAAATAAAAGATTCCATTTTCTATCCAGTGTTTTAAACATTAACTAATATTTTTCAAAATATTACAATATTTTCCCCTGCTCAAATGCTTCCCTACCACCCATGACAGATTTATTTATTTATTTTAGAAACACAGAAATATTAGATGGCGGGGGGGAGACGTTCATTTAGATGCAGATGAACAGAATATTTAAGGCACAATTAGAAAATGGGTAAAATAAAACAATTGGCTTCTTAGTTTGAGTATTTTCAAGACTCCTTCTGATTCAAATAAACATTTCAACCCCTTCTCTGAGTGGGAGCCTCTTTCCCTTGCTCCTTTCCTCAGTCTATGAGGTAAGAAATCTACAAATATTTGGTTAATCTCCAGCTTCTCTCAATGCTGTTTCTACAATGGAAAGAAATGTGTTGGTATTTTCATCCCATCCTATCCCATCCTAACATCCTATGTTAAGGGGACTGAATGGACAGACGGCTTTGAAAAGGGCCATGTTGCACATTCAGGGCCTCTAATCTAATGTGGAGACTGGTTGTGGTTTTGGTATCAACAAAATTCCACTAAAGTTAGGAGACAATCCCCAATGAACAGATTTCAGATTTCCAGCCTCCAAACCTACTCTTATCTGTCAGGGAATCATAGAATCATAGAAGTGTAGAGCTGGAAGGGACCACGAGCTCATCTAGTCCTTGACCTGCAATGCAGGAATCTTTTTGCCCAACGTGGGACTCAAACCCGTAATCCTGAGATTAAGAGTCTCATGCTCTGTCCACTGAGCTATAGAATTTAATAATAAAACAATAACTGAATGTTATTTGGGGGGGGGAGACTCAGGGAGACGCATACCCCTAAGCATTTTGTGAATCTAATGGGAGAAGAAACTAATTTTTTTAAGAAAAAAATAGTTTCTTCTCTAGCACTGTGAATTGTCAGTTCTGTTGCTACACCCGATGGCGGCCTCATTTCCTTTCACAGTGTTTCCTGAGTCTCAGATGGAAGCGAGCATTTAATGTGTGGAGCAGTGTACTGTATTTATTTTTCCCAATTTGAAATATAAAATGGTGGTTTTCTTGAGTCAAAATGAGAGTACCCCTAAACATTCTTTTTAGAAAAAAGGACTGAATGTACTTTATAGATTAAGGAAGAATTATGAAATGATGAGTTTTCTCACACCATAATTTTCACTGTACAGCCAGACACAAAACTGCTAAGACAGCTGTTAAGGCATCCTGCATGTACATATATTTGAAATGATTGACATCAGAATCCTTTTTTTTTCCATATTGCAACCCAGTGTCCTCTTTGAGATGCTAAAATTAAAACACTGGATACACCCTAATTATTATTGTTTTAGAAAAATTCAGAGTGTTTTAAAATAATGCACTTTCTCATTTTGATGAAGTATGGATCTTCTTGCCAGATCCTGATTTTTAACCACAGCCTAGATATTGGGGGGGGGGTGAGTTTGTAATAGTGGGACTTCAAAATACAAACTCCACTTACACCCCACACTCCCTGCTATGAGTGCCCTGAATCCGCTCTTTTCAAATTTAGGTTTGGCACAAAATGGGACCACCCCAGCAAGGCTGAGAGTGGGTCTTGCTGTCTGGGCAGCCCAGGACCTCCATACACACTGCCCGCCCGGGCTTGCACCCTGGAGAGGTCACTTCAGTGCTGCTAACACAGCAAAAACAATGCAGGAGGCAGTAACAAAATGGGGTTTGCCTCCACTGCTAGCCAGCCTCCTGTGCCAGTTCCCTCCTTCCCAGGCAAAATAACACCACCCACCCTTCCTTTTTCTGTCATGAGAAGAGGTATTCGGGAGGAAAGAGGGCTCTTTAGATACAGGAAATAACTTTCCAACCATTTGTTAACTGGAACTGATGCTCCTGAACATGGTTTGTCCATCATTTATTGCCTGCAAATTTTTCTTTCTTTCCCTGAAATCTAAACTTAATCAGGAGACAATTGTAGGAAATGGACCACAGGACTGAAAATTAACTGTGACCCTTCATCTGATAATATGCTTTTCTCAATGTATTTTCTCAACAATTAGCATTTCTGAAATGCTAGTGTCTATTAGCATAAAGCTCCTGTATAGTGTACTCTACATGTATACGTTATGCATAATGGACAGCTGCTTATCCGGGATAAAAATTGGTAGCCATTTCTCATAAATGACAGTGTCCAAGACAGTATGGTGTAGTTTGCGCCACATTATCACCATAGCAACCAAAACATGTTTATTGAAAGGAGAGTGCAATATATTAATATTCTTACATTCCAAGTATTGGCACCAGGTGGCATCGTAGCCCAGTTATAAAACAATAATAGTGCTCCCTTGAACCTCAATAATACTTTTATAGAAGTAACTTTCATTTCACAGCAGATTGGAAATGTACATTTTTACTAACAAACTGATTTTCTACTGTACAAAATTTGCTGTGGGTCTGCAGAAGATCTTCCTGAGTTTAGCTGAGCTTCTAAAATCAGTTCCAGCTGCTGCCCCTGAACTGACCATCTGTCACTCCAATTGGCACAGGCTCAAGGAGAATTGCCCCCATACTTCTGCTCAGGCCCCCAAGTCAAGCACACTTGGCTGACTTCCGTCTCCAAACTCAAACTCACTGAACAGGTATCCTTCCCATCATGATTCCACCTCCCAATGGGTCAACTGAGGGGAGGCAGAAGGAGCCTCTCTTCTCCAGAATTGTGCTTTTTGGCACTGATGATTAAGGAGATCTCAAACTACAGTTCCTGGGATTCTTTGGGGGAAGCATTGTGCTTTAAATGTATGGTGTGGACATGAGTATAGCGAGGGAGAAGCCTAGAGGTGGATCATAGCTGCAAGCAGCCATAGAACAAACAATCTAGGTTTCCCTATTAAGAGAGAAGGTGGGAGGGACGCCTTTCACATCCCACCAGCCCCTGCTTTTGGTCCAAATACAACTCTTTTGGGTTCTGCCAGCACTTGCTTAGTTTTCTCCTTCGCTTCCTTTCACTCCAGTTAAATCAAATCCCAGTCTTTGTCGAAACCTTTTCTCCTAGTTGCTGGACTCTGATTCTTTGTTTCCTGTCAGTTCCCACAATCCGGACCTGCTGGGCACCTTGATCTGTCATGGTTCTGGCCAATCCACAAAGCTGCAAGGGACAGGCGTGGGCTGTGGTCACTGCAGGCAGTCCTGGCCGTAAAGCTACTTCCCACGCTCCCTGTTGTCCCGTAGAGTCCTGGGCAGAGAGCGCAGGAAACCAGAGTCTGGACAAACCTCCCCATATCAATACAAACACCATTAACTGGGGGAAATCTAATCAAAACCAGCCACAATTTTATGCCCTTCTTAATTCTTGATCTTTTTCTGTGCTGATGGTTTCAGCAGTTAGTGAAGTATGTATATATATATATATATATATATATATATATATATAGGCAGCTGTGTTCTGAATCTTGAAATAATTCTCCACTTTCTCATGCTTGAAGGGTTAGTTTTGAATGTGAAACAGAAATTCAAGATTGTGAAAAAGGAATTAGTTACTATGGCTCTTTATAGAAGTCTTTGTGCTGTAACCAGCTGCTTCCTCTCTTTAACCAGACGTGGGTTGTTGTTGTTGTGCAGTGTCTTTATATGGAGGTACTGAATATCTGAGAATGAAGCCACCTAGTTTTCATCTCATGCCTACAATGAATGTAGCCAACTACTGTTTCTCTGGGAGAAGCTGGGGGAACACACAGCAACTATAGCAATCTGGAAGCAATTAAGCTAATATCTGGCCATTCTACTGGGCAGCTATACAGGTTCTTCCATTCAAAGGGTGGGCAGTTAATCAATCCAGCTATTAAGATCTTTCTCTGTAAAATCATTGCCCAAATACTCTACGGGGCTGAGATATGGGGAACTGATGTTACATCTGAAATAAAGGTCCGGCAAAATAAATTTATGAGGCAGATTTTGGGGCTTCCCTGTGGGACACCGGCAACCCACCTCAGAGCTGAGTTGGGCCTCCCCTCGCTAGCAGCCAGAACTGATCTAGCCTATCTGAGGTATTGGCACAGGCTAAACGCCTTCAAGGATCATCCCCTTACTAAGCTCTGCTGGTTAGAGCAACTAAGGACAGGGGGCTGGGCACAAAAGTGCCAAGATAAGCTTAGGGTTTATAATCTTCAAATGGAGAACTTATTAGTCCTTACCCACATGACCTTAGAAATTGGATTTTTGATCACGATGCCAACCAAAACAGAGCATCCATAATTGCCGCCCGTTACCCTACTTGGTACCCCCAAATTAAGACAATCACTCAAGGCCCCATTATCTTGAGACACTGACCTTCCCACAACTACTCAGGGCCTTTGTAGAACTAAGATTCCAATAGATGCCCTCAGCATATTTAGAGGGGAGATATCGGGGAATTCCCTACATGGATCGCAAATGTATATATGGATACAATCCGGGTAGAGGACATCACACACTATCTGCTGATTTGCCCCCTGTATACAACACCCAGAGGAAAATTTATATCGCCAATCCTTAATTGACTTCCAGGTCGACCCACACAGATAAACATCTATATATTATACACCAGGTAGCTAATTTTGTGCTGGCAGCTAAGAAGCTCCGTTCCAGCTATGTGAATGCACTCCAATTTTAAATTTAATGTTGTAAATTTCGGGTTTTTTATGTTGTAAACAGCTTCAGGTTATGTTGTATGATTTTAGAGGAATGTCTTCCTTTTATTCTCTGTCATCCATTGTAAAGGCCTTTAGCTATATATAATAAAATTAACTGCTCGTTAACCAGACATGGGCTGTTGTTGTTTTTTAACTGTGCAGTGTCTTTATATGGAGCTGCTGAATATCTGAGAAGGAAGCCACCTTGTTTTCATCTTATGCCTACGATAAATGGAACAAACTACTATTTCTCTGGGAGAAGTTTGGGGAACACACAACAACTATAGTCACTATCTGGCACATAGCTAAAACCCCTTTAAATAAAGTGAAAAATCAGTAGGCTTAAGAGTGATTAACTTGGGTTGGGTTGGGTTGTGGCCAATGTATAACAATATAATCCAGCTTCCAGCTACCAGGGTTCTGCTTTTTACATGAGTAGAATGTGTGCTTTTATTTAAAATGCATCTCTGGGTTATTTGTGGGGCATAGGAATTTGTTCACACACACACACACCCCGCCCAAGATATAGTCCGGCCCATCACATGGTCTGAGTGACGGTGGACCAGCCCATGGCTGAAAAAGGTTGCTGATCCCTGTGCTATACTCTGGCATATGAGTTGCCAACATGATTTTATTTGTATATTGATAATTCCTTTAAATAGTTCCATGTGCTTCATCTTTGGAATTCTTTGATTAAGTGGCTTGTAAATAAGTGAATAAGTAGCCCAGCAGCCACCCCCATTTTTATGCCCCTCCACAAATTTCCACTGATTTTGGTAGTAACAGCAAAAAGGTAATAAAGTGGACATGGCAATAGGGTGAGCATAAAAACTTACGGTAAGCCACCCTGCCCAGCCCAGGACCCTGTGGGGGATGCAACTCACAATCAGATTATTATTTCATGAGCTGGAAGGGGGTGATAACTCCTCCTCAGCTGATCTGATTAGATCAGCAGAAGTGGGGAGATTGTGTGCCTGTTGGTGTAAGTGTGTGTCCTGTGTGCACATGAGTGTGCGGGTGGCCACACCCACTGCTGGCAGACAACCCCAGGAGGGTTGGCCAGCCAAAAACAAAAGTGAGCCACTCTTGCTACACAGGCCTCGACTGATATAAAGAGCGCTGTATGTCCACAATATATTTCTGTGAGTCTGGGATCAGGATGTACCTAGTTAGCGCATCCAACTCCCACAAGTCAAACAATGTTATGAACTCTGTATGGCAAAAAGCTCCACTCAATATTCATTAAAATGCCATTTCTATTTACTACCCTTTGCTCTGATTATGACATATACTGCCCCACGGCTGTAGTACAATGGATCAGTGCATCTAGCTATTAACCAGGAGGTTGGTGGTTCCATCCCACCCAAGGATGGCTGCGGGCAGGATTCCTGCATTGCAGGGGGGTTGGACTAGATGACCCTCAGGGTCCCTTCCAGCTCTACAATTCTATGATTCTACACTGGGAATTGGCAGGATGGGGTGGCTCTTCTATGGAAATGGCCCGAATCTGAATTACATCATCCTGGGCAATTAAGGCTGCATTCTTATGCACAGTTACCTGGGAGTAAGCCAAGATGAACAGAGTGGGGCTGACTTCGAAACGAACTTGCACTGGTGTGCACACCAACAGGCCGCTTCCGTGTTTTCTTGTTCCTTCCCTATTATGCTAACAGACATGCCTTTCGTTCTCAGTCCACCCATTCAGAGGGGGACTGCCAATTGGCCAATTAGTGCTTCAGTTGTTAAATCATCTGAAGAAGCTGATTAAAGCTTGCAGCACAACTAAAGCTTGTACTTTATTTATACTCTAATGACTGAACTGCTTTTTGTGTATGGAGAAACATATTAAGAAGGTGTGAAAAATCATAAAGGATAAATATTATGTAAATCAGACTTTAAGTCTTTCTAACTAGTTAATTATTTCCACTACTATATTCAAAGGAAGAGGAAGTTAATGTTTCAGTTGCAAGTGTTCACTATCAAGGTGATGTCTTGGCATAGCTGTCAACTTTTCCCTTTTCTTGCGAGGAATCCTATTCGGAATACAGTGGTACCTCAGGTTAAGTACTTAATTCATTCTGGAGGTCCGTTCTTAACCTGAGGTACCACTTTAGCTAATGGGGCCTTCCACTGTTGCCGCGCCGCTGCTGCACGATTTCTGTTTTCATCCTGAAGCAAAGTTCTTAACCCAAGGTACTATTTCTGGGTTAGCAGAGTCAGTAACCTGAAGCGTATGTAACCTGAAGCGTCTGTAACCCGAGGTACCGCTGTACAGCAAAATGTCAGGGACATATCCAGAGTGGAGTCCCTAAGTTGGTTGGACTTTGTTGTAAATAAAAATATGCCCTTTCCCCTTATGGGGTATCCAAGAGCTCATATAGAGTCCTTACATAGGTTCCCTATTGGTAGGAGAAGATAACAGAGGCCAGCCAGAGAATATTGAGAAGCAAAGCAGCTAGTAAGCTTGATCTTTATTGATCTGTTGCAACAGGGTGCTTCCCTCACTCGGAGGAAAAGAGGAGGACCCACAAAAATGCTGTGCAAGGGCTTATAAAGACTTTTGAAATTCCCATCCTCTAGATCAAGACCACCCCCAGAAACATTATGCGTACATCACAGAAGGGGTGTAACCTAAGAGCACCCCTCAGATACATCCCCCTACATCACAGAAATTTAAATGTTGTTTTTCTCTTGTCCTTGTTTATCTCCTGTCCGGCAAGTTACTTGATTGGATTGCCTGGGGAGCCTGGCCATTCTTTTGTAGTGGTAAAATACTTATTTCCTGGGCCAGGTCACAGGCTCACACCCTATTCATATCTTAAATGTGTCCTTAAGACAGGATTTGTGAGGAAAGAGACAATGGGGAGACTTTTCCAGTTTGACCTTGCAGAGAAAACATTTGGTCAGTTTAGGAATCAAAATGGTTCCAGGTTGGCCTTCCTGTGCTGATCCATGTATGTGCGGTCCATGTATGTGCGGTTATGAACATTACCATATACCTAAGACCATAAATAAGACCATAAAATTCCTATCACAACTTCCTTCTAGGAACTCCTGAAGTCAAACTAGTGCCAAACATATTACCCTGCTTTTCCTTGGGTCACACAAGCAAGGCTGAAGAGGGGGGGTTGCCTGGGCAGTCCAGGACCTCCATACACACTGCCCAGGCTTGCACCCAGGGGAGGTCACTTCAGTGCTGCTAACGTTGCGGTTTGACTTCACCCGCAGAGGCACACTCCATTGTCTCTTGAGACAGATGGAAGCCAACTGGGAAGTGAGAGATTAAATAAAAACTAACCAGTGCATAATTGTTAGATAGCAATATAGAAAACCGGTTTGTCTGTCTTAACATTAGTAGAATGTGGAATAGGAGATAAGAAGTGAATGCACTGGCCATTCTAGTAGTAGAAGCAGCTCTAGAAGCAGGAGAGGAGCTCCCTCTCCTGCCAACTCCATTGGCCCTCGGGGGGCGGGGCCTGCACTCACCGCCACAGTTTAGAGGCCTGAGCAGCTCCCTGCAGCAAGGGACAAAAATGGTTTTAAATGTTTTAAGTGCTTTTAATTTGTTAACTCCCTGGAAAAGACCCTGATGTTGGGAAAGATGGAGGGCACAAGGGGAAGGTTGATGACAGAGGACGAGATGGTGGGACAGTGTTCTCGAAGGGACCAGCATGAGTTTGACCAAACTGCGGGAGGCAGTGGAAGACAGGAGTGCCTGGCGTGCTCTGGTCCAGGGGGTCACGAAGAGTCGGACACGACTAAACGGCTAAACAACAACAACAATTTGTTGCACCTTAAATGGCGGTTTTTTTATAATATTATATTGTTTTATTATTGTATTTCTGCTTGGGGTGGGATAAATATTTAGTCAGGGTGGGGAGTAGTTTAATTTTAACATAATTGTTTCTTGCTTTTTTTGTTTTTTTTGTTTTTTGGTTTTTTTTGTTAAGTTAATATATAGTTTATATTTTGATTTTTAAGGGGAAGGGTCAGGGCTGCCTCAGTCAATAGAATGGCTGGGGCATGTTTCCCAGGGGGGGATGCACTGGGACACCCAATCTCAGTGATCACGGGCAGGAGGAGGAGTTACGCTAAGCCCAGACCATGTCATTACAGAGGAGGCAGGTTTAGTCATTGTTTGAGGACTATCCCTGCCTCCAGGTCTGGTCCTGACCGGACGGATACTAGAATCAGCAAGGGAAACCCACATGACCTGAAAGTGTTGCTGTGCAATGCCAGGTCAATTATTCATAAGACCACTGCCATACATGACCTGATTGTGGATGGAGGATTTGACCTGGCATGTGTGACAGAGACTTGGTTGGATGAAGCAGATGGGCCTGTCCTTGCCGCTGCTTGCCCACCAGGTTTCTCTTACGCACAGCAACCCAGGTCACGTGGACGGGGAGGGGGGGTTGCAGTGATTTTTAGGAAGTCATTAGTTTGCACCAGGCATCCTATTGGGAAGACCCAGTTTTCTGAGTGCATGTTCTGGAAGTTGGGCAATAGGGGCAGTACAGGATTCCTATTGGTGTACCGACCTCCCCGCTGCCCCAAGGATTCGCTGCCCGAGCTGCTTCAGGTCGTGGCGGATGTTCTCCTGGAGACACCTAGTTTGGTTGCCCTGGGGGATTTTAACATCCATGCCGACACGACCTTACAAGGGGCCGCTCGGGACTTCGTGGAAAGCATGGCCTCCATAGGTCTGTCCCTGAATAAGTTTGGCCCAACTCATAGCTGTGGACATGCCTTAGACTTGGTGTTTACCTCTACAGATGTTGGTGATCTGACACTAACTAAAAGCTAAACAAAAGAAGTGCCATTGTCAGATCACTTCCTGGTACAACTGGACTTCTCTACGACCCTTCCCTTCTGCAGGGAGATGGGACCGATTCGGATGGTCCGCCCCTGCTACTTAATGGATCCAATTGGCTTCCAGAGAGTGGTAGGGGATGTTTTATCCCAAGTTGATGGCCTTTCAGCTGATTCCCTGGTGGCCCGCTGGAACGCAAAGTTAACCAGGGCTATTGGCTGTCTGGCTCCGAAGCGTCCTCTCTGATTGCATGGAGCCCGGACAGCCCCATGGTTTCCCCCAGAGCTGAGGGCGTTGAGACGCTAGAGCACCGGTGGCGGAAAACTCATTCTGAATCAGACTGGACATGGGCTAGAGCTCAACGTCGAGCCTACCAAGTGGCAATGGCGACGGCGAAGAGGGGCTTCTTTGCCACCTCTATTGCATCTGCAGAAAACAGCAGCAGGAGACTTTTTCAGGTGGTTCGCAATCTATCGGAACCACCTGCACCACCAGGGCCTGGTAGGGACCCCAAGATCTCCTACAATGCTTTTGCAAAGTTTTTTTGCAGATAAAGTCGCTCAGATTCAGAAGGAGGTAGACTCTACCGTGGGAGCAGGGCTAGGGCGGGAGAGTTCTAGAGTTCTGTCTAGTCTTGTTACATGGGATCAATTCCAATCTGTTACTTCTGAGGATGTGGACAGGCTGCTTGGACAAGTGAAACCGACCACCTGTCTCCTTGATCCTTGCCCATCCTGGCTGATAAAAGCGAGCCGGGAGGGGCTGGGCGATGGGCTCTTCGGGGTGGTGAAGGGAGCCTTCCCAGCCCCGCTGAAAGAGGCGGTCATTAAACCGCTTCTTAAAAAAACATCTTTAGACCTGGCCAACATGGCCAACTATCGCCCAGTCTCAAATCTACCATTCTTAGGCAAGGTGATTGAGCGGGTGATTGTCGAACAACTCCAAGCATGCCTGGAGGATGTGGACCATTTGGATCCCTTCCAGTTGGGATTCAGGCCTCACCATGGGACTGAAACTGCCTTGGTTGCGCTGGTTGATGATCTCCGGTGGGCTAGGGACAAAGGTAAGAGCTGTTTCCTAGTTGTGCTGGATCTCTCAGCGGCCTTTGACACCATCAACAATAACATCCTTCTGGACCATCTAGAGGGGCTGGGAGCTGGGGGCACTGTTATACGGTGGTTCCGCTCCTTTCTCCTGGGCTGTGTCCAGAAAGTGGTGTTGGGGGATGAGTGTTCAGACCCCTGGGCTCTCACCTGTGGGGTGCCTCAGGGTTCCGTCCTCTCCCCCATGCGTTTTAATATCTATATGAAGCCGCTGGGAGAGATCATCAGGGGGTTTGGGCTGGGTGTTCATCAGTATGCAGATGACACCCAGCTCTACCTCTCCTTTAAATCAGAACCAGTGAAGGCGGTGAAGGTCCTGTCTGAGTGCCTGGAGGCGTTTGGAGGTTGGATGGCGGCTAACAGATTGAGGTTGAATCCTGACAAGACAGAAGTACTGTTTTTGGGGGACAGGGGGCGGGCGGGTGTGGGGGATTCCCTGGTCCTGAATGGGGTAACTGTGCC